ACTGCCAGCATCCCTCCTGAAGAAAGGTGCTTGGCAAACCAAGGACAGAATGTAAAATTTTGAAAATCATTTTAGATGAACCAAAACCATTTTGTCCAATCTAAACTGATTTTTTAAAAAATTCTTTGCAAAGCTTTTTACTTCTCTTTCCATCATTTTTGGTTTTAAGTAGAAAATAGGTTAAAAAAAAAATAATTTTGCTTCATAAATATCTAAAAACTAGTGACCTGCCCATGTTCTCCCTCCACTGTCTTTGAAGCCATGACCCCATGGAAGCAAAGGAGAAATAATATATTCTAGTGTTAATTCATGTGATATTACTCCCAGTCAACTCTCAAATGTCAGAGTGAACAGCTGTACCAGGAAACCCAGTGCTCCCAGGAGCTGGTCTCACAAACCTGCAAATTTTCTCCACAGCTCCTGGCTTCTAGCCCACTAGGTGGTTGCCACTTCACTTGTTTGAGAGCTTCTCACCAGAAAAGAATTTTCTATGCACTGGGAAAGGGAGATAATGTTAGAAAAAAGAACAATAGGTTGTGTTGGAGAGTGATGGAGTGGGGTACCAGGTCTCCACACCAAGCAGATAACAAAGTATCATCTAAATTCTTTCCTGGTCCAAAGGGAAATACAGTCCATCCTGGTGAAAATGTGGTCATAGGGTTTCACAAGACTGTGAAAATCCCTCAACTTGACCAGCCGTAATTTCTGACAAAAAGCATTTTTTTGACCAATAGTCACAACCCAGGAGTAGGTAGGAGAAATGGATTTTCACCCTGAAACCCCTCCTTTTCTTGTTTTTCAGTACCAAAACACTGAGCATCTCCAGAAATGGATTTTCATGTATGCTTTGTGAATCTCCACATTTAGCTAGGGCAGAGATAATATATCTAAGATAGTTTATATAGTTCTTTGTTATTACCACCTCTAATGTGATGAATTGTTGCTGAAGGTTTCCTATCCCCATTCCTGTTTCAGCAGAAACCCATTCTGTGTTTCATGCATGAGTTCTACACTGCTGCAGCTAGAAGCCACACAGATGAGGAATGCCTCTCCAAATAATCCCCTTGTTGGGAAATATAAACAATTCTCACTGAGCTCCAGCAGAAAACCACAAATTGTGGTGCAAGTTGTACTTCCATGAAATTGTACCTATGAACACAAAACAAAATGCAGAAGATAAAGCAATTTAACTGATGGCTATGGGTGAAACAGAGATCAATTTAGGATGAAATGCAGGTGGGCAGTGTAGCAAGACTCACTGCTTTCCTAGAAATGAGCATCACTGGGTTGAATGCCAGAAGATCCCTTATACGGGGTATCGGATGGCATTGCATTCAAGTACCCAGACAAGTCGGGGGAACCCTCCTACTCCTTATCTTATATCAGAGCAACTGGGAGAGTAATTACCACCACCTTCCTTTCCCCACCTTCTTTGCCAGAGCTACAGAACTTGTGCTGAAAAGAAATCAGTTACTGGCAGTATAGACTACCTTTGAGGATCCAAAGTCTGCTATATGCCACCACTTATCTCCACTGATTTAAACCGAGAGAGGGCAGATTTGGATTGAATATAAGGAAGAAATTATTTACTGTGAAGGAGGTGAGACACTGGAACAGGTTGCCCTGAAGCTGTGGATGTCCCTTCCCTGGAAGTGTTCAAGGTCAAGTTGGATGGGGTTTTGAGCAATGTTATCTAGTAAAAGGTGTCCCTGCCCATGGCGGGGGCAGGAAGTTGGACTAGATGATCTTCAAGAGGTCTCCTCCAACCCAAACCATTTTACAATTCTGTGATAAATTCGAAAGCTTTGGGATAAAGTCCTAAACTGCAACCAACTCTGGCTTCCAAATCAATGAGAAAGCATGATAAGCCATGCTGCTGGGAAACACCATTCTACACCAGTAAGAGAACTGGGATGTCAGAGTACAGTCTTACACACTGAGGTACCCACTGTTATCCTGAGGAGTTATAATGATTAGTAATTCAGCCTTGTTTGGATTTATGACCGGTCTGAATTTCATGCAAAATTTTCATAATCTGGGTCATAATTACAAAAATCCCAAATAACTTTTTAATATCAATGTTTAAAAAAATAGGAAAATCTTTCACAGTATTTTTATTGCCTATTTACAATCTCAAATCAAATGGTTTACAACTTTGTGTTCTGAAAATATACAACGTAAGAAAACACTAGCCTGGCAAAATTATGCTTTTATGATAATGACAGGGATGAGTTATAGTTACTCTAGTTAAACTATAATGGCTGCACAGATGCTAGGAAAAAGCTATTGCACAACATGTTTTCCCACCATAAGCATGGCACCTGCTAGCTCCACCATGGTACATCTAAGAGCATGTTAGCATTTCTTTATGAATACTATTTTCAAGGATTATAATTGGACCATAAACATTCACTTGGGGATAAAATATTAGTATGCAGGTTTTAAAAAATATCTTGAGAAATACTCAGCCAGTTTTGCATATCTGGATTTCAAAAGCAAGTTTATGAGAGATAATATATAATTTGTTTCTGGTTTTGTAGAACCCAAAAATGGTCTGCCTTCTTCTTATGGTCTATATGAATTTGTAGCAGGTGAATTTAGTGATATTTACAGAGCAGAAACTAAATACTCCAGCCTACTGCTGTATATCAGGAAATAATAATATTTATCCACAGATTATGTGTTACATAAATGGCAATGTCAAGAGTTTCCTATGCATCTTGCCAAGCTGCCTCTGCACCCACGCATGGTCACTCGCTCCTGAGATGCTGCTCAAGGACACTAGCACTGGTTGTTATGACCCACCTCCATGTGATGAATTTAGTCTCACAAACCAGCTGCTGAGACAGAAATGTAATCTCTGTGTTATTTTCCACTGAAATAGCTGAGGCATACAGTGGCCGTGAGCTCCTACACAGAGAGTAGAGATAACCACTAGCTGTAATGCACATTGTATGTGCTACATATGGACAAGCTGATTACACTCACTACAGTGAGAAAATACAGGAATTTAGGTAAATAACATTACTAAATGTATGACACTACAATCATTTGCTCTAATTCCTATTACAGTAAACTTTACCTATTATATACTGTCAGTAAATATGTGAGGCTTTGGTCAAAGTATATTGTCTGACTTTCTTAGCAAGGCAGTTTTCATAAATGGACTACAAAGAACTGAAAAGAGGGTGTTAACAGGCTGTGTAAAATCAGTCAACTAACCAACCCAATTCTGCTTTTTAAAAATTGTTATAAATCAGAAGCAAGGCTGTTTGAATTACTGGAATTTCAGTGAGTTAAAACACCTCCAAAGAGAAGAACCACTGGTAAAAATCAAAGTGGACCTTTACTTGTGTCTCAAGGATCATGGTTTTTAGTGAGGTAAAATCTTCCCAAGTCTGCAGCCCAACTTCTTTACTTTAAACCTCCTCAGTCAAGCTGGACAGAGTATGAATTAAGATCAGACATTATATATTTCATTCTCCAACACTGAATCTGCTCTATCTTACTCAATAATAAAGCCCTGCTAAAGCCTTAGGCAGTAGTAGCTGACCCTTTGTATTAAGACCTTGTCTGCAGTAGGTTCCTCATGCATATGCCTATTGATGTATTTTAGAGTGGAGATAATTCTTTATGTTGGGTATCTGCTGTGGCTTCATACTTCCAAGAAAACACCTCTTGTATCTATTTTTTCATGCCATGTATTACCCTCTACTGCCTGCTATAATGTATTGTTACATTCCACAGAAAAAGCTTTCTTATGTCAATCTTTGTCAAAACTCTTAGGAGCCACTTAAGCATCACTTTAAAGGACTCTTTATCACTCAGATGAATTTTCCCCTAATTGTATCCTTTAACTCCAAAAGGGGCTTGGGGATGTACTTTGTATGGAAGATGCTATAGGAAACAAAAGTTGCATTGCTAGTGGTTTTACTTTTATATTTCCATCCAGGTAACTCTCTGCACACCAATTTGCTTTCTCTTTCCAATACCCATTTCCTCCTGGGGCTAGTTCCTGGGACAGAGCTGTCTTCAAATAATTTAATTATCATACACCTTTTTAGTCCCCCCCTGAAATGGTGTGTGATGCCTTTGGTTTACATCACTTGTTGGAAAACACTCCAAAGCATTGAAAAACTATTAAATTGTTACAGAATTGGGTGCCAACACACAGGGCTATTAGTCTAATTCATCCTTCAGATCAAAGCCCACACAGGCAGCTCTCCTGCCTACAGCTATTTTCCTTTTACTTTCCTGCTTGACAGTAGTCCCTCATATCCCTCTGTTCTACTTTCTTTGAACATACACATTTTCCTTTAGTCATGGAAATATAATTTATGTCTATTATACTGTATTATAGATTGCAGATCAGGACAAGCGTGCATTACTGCCTGGAATGTCTGTTTACTGTACGTCGGGTTTCTAAAAATAAATAAATAAGAAAGCCACCCTGCTTCACTGGGGAGAGAAAAATACAAAGGGGGAGGACTCGGGCTGGGGGGAGCTGCACTCTGTTCTCAAAGTTTAATTTCCAAGTAGAGACCTTGAAGCATGATTTATTAACATCATGCTGTTTGCTTTTGTCACTTTGTGGATGTGGCGGGGGGAGCACTGGCCCCTTTCCAGCCCGGACCACCCAGCGAGCTGAGCAGAGCTACCGGTGGTGCACACCCTGGTTCAAAGGTTCACCCCCAATTCACCAGCTCCATCAGTCACCAGCCGCCTGGCTCCGCCACCCCATTGGAGGCAACGGCAATAACAACAATAACCACCCCCCCACCTCCCGAAAAATAATATCCTAACAGACGGTCTGTCTGGATGCGAGAATTGCAAAAACAATCCCCACCCCACCACAGAGAGTATGTGTGCACGGAGGAGAGGGAGCGTGAGGAGGGGGGAGAGAGAGAATGAGACAGACAGAGGGGAGGGAAGAAGGGAGGAGGGAGTCCAAGCTCTGAGAAACATCACTCCATCTCTCTCACTCCACAGGAGCTGAGCAAGGAGCAGGACGATGTTTGACAACACGCAGTACCCCTATAACTGCTTTAATTATGATGGGGATGATTATCCTACCTGTAGTTCTGATGAAGAGAAAAAATTCACCAGACCAGCATACAGGTAAGATGAAGTTTTTCCAAGTCCCCCCACCTCTGGGGAGGTTTCTGAGCTTTGGGATGGTGGGATCAGGGTTCTTGGGGGAGCGTGGGTCCTCTCCCCAGGTGTGTGCAGTGCATCTGGCCCCAGTGCAGTTACCACAGTGGGCAGATGCCCCCCCTTTCCATGTTTGAAGTGTTCATGATTTGTTTCCTCCTGTGCGGGGTCACAGCAACTCTGGCATGCCGGTGAGCCACCAGATCCCAGATGGGCTCCTCTGACCTCTAGGAGCCCTGCGAGAAGGGGAATTAAATGTGCAGCGTGCCAATGAGTGAATTGGATGCAGATAATCCTCAGTGCGGTGGGGAGATGCACGGTGTAGATGTTCACAGGGGCACCTAAGGTCCTTTCCACAAGCAGGCAAGGTCTCCAGTGACAGTGTCTCTGAGTCTGGTCTGTCTCACTGCAGCCTTCTAGCTCAGGGAAACTTTTCTGATGGGGTTTGAGAGGTGGGTGATCCTTCTGTAATCCTCCTGTATCTAAGCGCTCTGTGCTGAGTGCCAGGGCAAACAGCTCGGCTGGGACTCAATTGCCTAGAAGTAATGTCTGTGGATCACCCCGGGGTCTTGGGGCAGAGAGGCAGCAACCATGCTCGGGGATTATCCCTGGGACATCTCGGGTCAGGGAGCAGACCCACCGCAAGAACTTTTGGAAGCAAGATATAGGCACATATGTGTCATGTACGAGTATGTGAGTAAGGTTATGGTGTAACAGCAAGTTTTCCTTTTTTCAGCTACATTGCCTTAATTGCAATGGCCATCCAGCAAAGTCCTTCAAATAAAGTCACCCTCTCTGGCATTTATGACTTTATAATGAAGAAATTTCCTTACTACAGATCAAATCAAAGAGCCTGGCAGAACTCCATCCGACATAACTTATCGCTTAACAGTTGTTTTGTAAAGGTAAGATCAGTAACTGTATATTTACATACACATTGTGCATGGATTAAAATAATATATGCAGGAATAATCTCATCACTAGGAAAGAAGGGAAACAAACAGCTGAGCTGCGAATCACTTAAAATCTCTCTGAGTTGTCAATTACAGAGATAGAGAGTATATCCTAGTCTGATGTGTGCTAATAGATAACAAATTGAAGAGGATAGAGTTTGCATCCTATTCATATAATGAAAGAGAATAGGCTTAAAAGTCTTGTCATATGTGTTTACACTATTCTTGAATGTAAATGAATGCAGATGTTAAGCAGCAGCATCTGTGACACATACAAATACTGACCTGCCTTTAAATAAATACAGGTTCCCAGAACAGAAGGGAATGAGAAGGGGAAAGGAAACTATTGGAGCTTTGCAACGGGTTGCGAATCCATGCTGGATCTCTTTGAAAATGGGAATTACAGGCGAAGACGGAGGAGGAGGAATGTGAAAAGGGAACATAAGGAGCAGAGACCAAGCAGAGGGAAAAGTCCTTCATCCCCCGATATGTCTTCTATGGACTCTGCACTAAACATTTCCTCTCCTGAAAGTAAAAACGAAAGAATTGAATTGGGCCCAAGACTACTGGAGCCTCGTGGGTTTGCTCCAAACAGCATGACCAACAGGCAGAGCCTAAGCAATTCCTCCTTAGCAAAATCGGATTCTGAAATTAAATTCAGCATTGATTACATCCTTTCAGCCCCTGACCCTTTGCCTGTCCTGAGATCTCAATATAATATGCAAGAAAATAAATATCATCTACTGGAGGCCCAGCAAATTAATCTCCAGTTCTGGACAATGTGATGTTATTTGTTCATGGTAACGGGGTCTGAGTTGCAGTGTATTAAGCAGCCTCACATCATTGAAAATCAGCCGCTTGTCTCCTCGTTTTTCTTCCCAAGCAGTACTCAGAAATGGTTACTGATTCACCAGCTGACACTTTGTCTGTACCCAAAGAACTTTGTTAAGATTAAAGCGTAAATAACAGTTACCAATATCGGTTTTCACTATGCTGAAATTCATGAAATTCTAGCTTTGTTTTCTGAACTGTCTTGGACATCATTTAACACCACAAAGAATTTCCTTTCTCAAGCAGAATCCAACAGAAAAGAGACTTGCTTATCACCCATTGCTTTATTAAAGACAAAGTGAATTTGATCCCACTTTCTCGGGTGGAAATTAGGATTAATTCCACTGAAGTATATAGGTCAGAATTTAAGCTGATCTAAAATGGTGTAATTCTGTTGACTTACACTAGCTGAGAATGTAAGGGGGGGGGCTTTATTTTCTTAAAAGAAATCACAGAAAATCACTCTGTCTTCCCTTATTTTTTATTTTAACATCATGTTTCAAACTGTTGTGCAGCTTTAATCCACCATTAATTAGAAAATGTAGTTATTAATAAGTGTTTAAATTATATTTTTGTTGATATTCAGGACAGAGTTGTTTAAACTGTTGAAGTGAAGTTGCATCCAAAATAATTCCAAGAAATCTAATTACAAGGCTGCTGAACTCTGGTTGACTTTGATGGGTAATGTGACAGAGGCATAGATCCTTTTAATGCCTTGGTTTTAAAAAAATAACCCTCTCCCCTTGCACTACCAAAAAGCCTCCTGAGATGCTACAGTAAAGTCTTTGAATTTATTTCATTTAGCAAGTGTGAAGGGAGACTCAACTTTGCAAGAAGCTGTATCCAGTGTTGACCAAAGCCAGAATTCCACCTACCTGCTTGAGACCACTTGTACATTCTTATTAAATAGATTTTTATTGATCCTTCTTGGAAGCAATTACCAAAGTGGTACTTGATACGATTTCAGCAAAGCTGGTGAGTTATATAATTTACAGATAGCAATGTTAGATCATGAGCTCTATTTCTAAAGAAAGCCATTTCATTACTATTTACATGCAGTAGGGTATTTCAGAACAGAACCTGATGGACAATGATGAACTATAACGAGTGTTTAAAAACTTGCTTTTATACAACTTGTTGACGATGAATTGTTTCCCAGTACCTAACAGCAGCATTAGTAAAGACTCCACAAAATCTTGGGTTTGGCTTGACTACTACAGTCTTCACTTACTGCAGATAACAGAAAAAAAGACAAGGATTCTGGTGGTTTTAAACAATTATATACTGAGAGATAAAATTATCTTTGCAACATGAACTAAAGGTAAATGAAGGTATATGAGATAAGATTAAGCAAAATTGTGCTAGAGGTATGCTCAGGCATGACTTGAATTTTTATGCAGAAGCTTTGACATTTCACTAAGTTATTTTACATTGTGTCTAATATATACTGTACATTAATACTATATATTCTTATATATTGTTATTGAGAAAGGGAGCAATATCACTGCACTTATATGTTGTAAAAATGCATGATGTATGTTGTCATGATGCTGAAACTCCTGCTATATATTTAAAATTTACCATTAGTGGTATTTCACACTGATTGGTAATAAATGCTCATTTTTTGGAAAACTATAAAACTTGCTGTCTTCAGACATTTCCATAGCATGCAAAAGTCTTTGCTTCTTCTTTGGAAAAGATAAAATGGAAAATCATGTCAGTTACATCACTGTGTGTCTTCCAAACTTTGAAGGGATGATTTCTTGTGACCAAATTCTGCCTTCAGATGGGAGCTTTCAATTCTCTGTGAATCAATGGTTATGTGGGTGATTATCAGGAAGCAAAATTTGACTCATTAGACCTGATTGATCGGCTGTTTACACTGACGTCAGAAAAAGAAGAAAACCTCTGGGGTCACTGGGCAGATGGATTCTCAATTGAAGAGGGACAAGAATTTGCTCCTTCAGTAGTTATGTTCAGTAGTAAACAGATGTGGGAAGAGCATGAGCTCATTTAGTACTTCAATGTATGCATGCATTCACGTGTGAGTTGGTATGTGTGCACCTCTAGGATCCTACTTACATTTATATATTCATGCTTTATATGCAGATTTTTTTGATTGTTTTAAACATGGCAATGCTGCTGTTAGGCTGATAGTTATAGTACACATTTGCAGTATATCTGAAATATATATTTTTTTGCTGTGAAATGTGCAAATATGATTTTTACTATGTGTTCTTTGTTAATGGTGTTGGAAAAAAGTAACTCAATGACAGCAGAAGTTCCTATTAAGCATACACCTTACCCAGGTGAACACAGAAGGTTGCTGAGACCAATGGAGATATAGTTATATCTACTAAGCCATATAGGATAAATGTATTAGGAAAGGCAGAAATACACCGAGGTGGATTTACAGCAGAGATCCAAAACCATTTTCAGTAAGAAGAATTAATATTCACAAATAGCCATGTCATTTGCTCAAAGTAAAGTGCCTGCTAGGAGAGACTGTCATACCTGAGTTTCCCTAACATATAATCAAAGAAATTTGTGTACAAATAGGTGTTAACATTTGTTTTGCAAAGGATATCAATCATATTTCAAAAAACTAAGGGACATATTTCAATTTACCCAGTATATTATATTCTGACGACTCCAGAAAGGTTTCCAGCACTTAAAGTGAATGGCATTTAATATAGAACAACATAACAGGGGTGAGGGCTAGACGTGACCTTATTCAAATGTCGTAGCCATTACAAAGCCATTCTCAATGTAATTATAATTAAATACTTTATGCCTTTCTTGCAAATCCTCTGATCGATCATTGATATTAACATTAATATTGTATTACCCCCGAGCAAATGTCTCCCACACAAGTGTTATGGATCACCAGGTTTCCATTAACAAAGTTGTGAGCTATTGCCGTATGCTGGTCGTGGATAAATTTACGTAAATTACCTTTTCTCATGAAAGGGGGGGGAAAAGTCCATTTTTTTTCTTTTTATCCCTGCACTTTGAGTCTAGAGCTGTTTCTTCAGCTCCATCACAACCTGCCAGACACTTACATAAGGACACTGTGAAAGAAAAAATAAAATCTCACAGGAACATCCCTCTTTGCCCTGTGTTGAAGCAGGTGAATATTCTCCAGATGTAGTTGGTTTGATACACGGGTTAAAAGCTGAGCTGAAGCCAGGGCTGAGCAGGGCAGGGCAGGGGGCTGCACCCCACCAAGTTCATCACCAGGCTGGTTAGGCTGTGCATGGCAGCCAAAGTGAGAAAATGTATTTGGCTCAATTCCTCATCTTGAGGAGTCTTCCTGATTGCAGAGACTCAGAATGAGCCATGGATTTCCTAACCCTAAAAGCAGTGCTTCTCTTGGGGGCTGGCACTGCCTGTCCCAAGCCTGAGATGAGACAGGAGAGGGAGAGCAGCGCCCAGCAGGGAGAGAACAAGCCTTTTGTCCTCCCCTTTTAGGATCATAAATACCTTTGCAAAGGAAAGATGAAAGGTTTCTTTCTGGGGGGAAGCTAGTCTCTACCTCACTGTGGGACCCTGGGGTGTTTTGTTTATTTATCTTTTTAAAGGAAGGCCTCTCATGATAAAACAAAGATTTTGATGGAGCTATGCCAGGTTATTCTGCAGTCATTTGACTTCTAATGATTTAATTTCTTAGGCTTTTGTCACTGGTGCCACAGAAGTGTTTTTTGCACAGCAAGATGATGCTCTGCCTCAATTGAAATTCAAAACACCTGGGCAAGGATGAGACACTTTATTTTTCCCACTACCAGTGAAAAGAGGCCAGATAACACCCAATAAAGGCCAGTGGTTGACCTCACCTATGGGAACCTCTGCCTCAGCAGAACCTCCTCCTTATTATGGGAGCATTAATGCAAATTAGAATAGCTGAAAAAAAAACCTTTTATTTGTCTGTAAAGCTAAGTTCCCCTAAATTTTTGCCAATCAGATAGATCTTATTAGTTGAGACCCATTAAATCCCTGTATAAACAGAAGCTGTGTTCAAGGAGCGTTTGAAGGTCAAAGCATGCTGGAGAGCTGTCTCTCCCCATGTCTTTGCTTTGTTGTGCTCAGTCTTGTTGCTTGGGCTGCCACAACCTTCCTCAGACACACAGCAGGTTGGTCCTCAGCTACTTTACAGAGCAATCTTGCATGCTCCCTCAAAGCTAAATCAAGATTTTTGAACCATTGTCTGGCCACAGAGGGCTTTCCTTTTGAGTAGCAATTGTCTGTTCATGTTCAAATCTTGTGTGTTCTTTCCACTCTGCTACACATCTTCCAGTAGAACAGAGGAGGTTGGGAATCTGTGAATGGTACAGTGCAAAGGTGCTTGGGGTTGTGTATCAAGTTTCTGTACTGTAAACCAAGAGCAGCATCTCCCCAGTGTTCCACCACACACAAGCTGAGGCCAAAGAGGGAACCTAGCCCACATACCTGTAAGCAAACAGGGCTTTAATCTTCACTTCTGGCTTTGTAGCACGAATCCCTGTCCATAAGCAGCACTTCAGATCCCAATCCCAAGATATGGAAACCCTGTGCTGCTAATTCCTGTTGGCCCCTCCCCTCTCTATCTCCTCTGGGGAACATTCTCCTCCCTGCTGTGTGGGTATAAATACTTGTAAATCCATTAACTTTGGTACAATTACCTTTGGAGTTGAAATAGCACATGTAAAAATAAACTTTTCATATTATACCAAACATCTCTACTCACACAGTCTGCCAAACTGGGCCAGCAACTCAACTCCTAGATAACAGTTCAGAGCAAAAAATGGTCCTGCCCCTCTATATTTTGCCTTGGCATCCAGCTTCTAATTCCTTTCTCCGGAACATGGGTACCATATGCACTGCGATGCTCAAAGAACCTAGTACCTACCCTCTGTCTCTCTTTTACTGGGAATGTTTTTCTTATTGAAAGTAGGGTCATTAAATTAAAGAACAGGGTAGGTCCAAGTCCTATGGAACTTGCACTGGAATTTTTTTACCCAGAGAGCTAACATAAAATTACAAAGTAAATTGTGCTCCCTCCCACCCTAGCTACAACAGTTGGAGACAAATCCAACTGTGAGAATTTTGCCTGAGAAAGAACTGCTGGATTTCTCCCACTGTGAAATCCAGCTGTTAATTCAAACAGAAGGGATGGACCTGACTAGATAGGCCAACTGGCTTGTTTCCATCCTGAAGTCCATTGTGTTCCACAAGTTCCTAAATTTATGGTCATGAAGGTCTTCCAAGCCCTGTAACAAAGTATGGCATGCAATGTTTTTGTTATGGAATGTGTGCTGCAAAGGAAAAACAAGGTTTGAATTTATCTTTCAAATTAAGATCCTGGAATCTCTCAGGATAAACAGGCTAAATTAGGAATCAAAACACACCATGTTTCTCACCATAACTATGAAACTGAAAATAGCACTTGCAGAGTACTGTCAGAGAAGAAAACTAGAAGTTGCAGTAAGATCAACCAACTTTCTTTTTGTCATGAGTGTTTCTCTGTGTGTTCATTGTCACTTCATAGCAGGGGTTGGCAGTGTGCAACAACAGGAACAACCTTTCATCTTTTGGGCGTCGTTGTTCTGCTGGAGTATTTCAGAAAATAGCTTTGCACTTCAAAATTGAGCTGCCAGCCTCCATCATCAGCATTTACATTAGGCACATACTATCTTGTCTTGCTTGGAGTGGGTTGGAAATAAGATACCGAAATGCTCTTTAACTTGTCAGCCTGTATGGTGCAGCTCAGTGCAGCTTTCTCTTTGCTATGGCTCCACAAACTAACCGTTCTGCACAAAAGCCGCTCGCTCTTACGCCTTTGATGAAGACATGATGAAGACTTAATAGTCTTGTAGGTCTATTCAATTTTCATAGTAATATCAGTGGTTCTAATTTTAAAAATTAGGCTTCCTGAAATTTGCACAGCTACAAGAATGCTACTCTTTCCCTCAGTCATTAAAACCTTTTGTTAGTACTAACACTTGGCCTTAAAGCCCCATGTATGTGGATCTAACTGTCCCCCTGAAGCTGCATTTTCTATAGCTGCTAATGCTGAAACACTGTCATGTTTTCCTTTGTCTGGGAAAAAAATTAGGATAGAATCAATTTTTCTCTTGAGCCCAAAGGCTCCGCTGACCATTAGCCATCTGTCCCAAGCAAGATCTGCTCTAGCTGAAAATCCTTTTTGAGGTTTCATGCCACAGATATTTATTCCTACAACAAAACTGTTCCCCATCTTCCCCTCTTTGCCTTGAGGCATTATGCTGTGCTAGTATTGACTGAAACCAGTATTCTCTGCCATCATCCTCCCTTTCCATCATGGCCTCTCTGAGACTGGGAAAAAGAAGCAGTACTTTCTATAAAAGTGAATGTGGAAAATAACAGGTGCAATGGGCTGTGTTTTGTGATTTGTCTCAAGCTTTTCTGAGACTAAGGGGGCTATATGAGCAATTATCAAACCCTGGGAGGTATTTCAGTATTAATCTGCCCATAACATTTTTCTGCATAGGAGCATCTGGGACTGGCTCCATGGGTTGAATCCTCACTCTCATGAAATGAATGTGAGTTTTGCGGTTGGGTTCAAGGGACCAAAACTTCATCTTCTGTTGCCAAGACCAGAGATTAATCAGATTAAAAGACATGTGGACTGCAGAGAAAATTAAATACCTCCTGGCAGTTATTTGGTGTATTCTGAAGACAAAATAGCAGCTTGTTTCCACAGGTTTCTTTGGCTCCGTCTTTCAGCCAGACAAAATACTTCCTGAATTCAATGGGAAATGTGTCCAAATAGGGAAGAAGTTCCCCAAAGCCTAAGGGCTGAACACAGCAGAACCAGATGTTGGCATCTGGGGTGATATTCCTGGTGCAGAGATGTTTGTATGCTCTTTAAGAGCACCTCTGTTCTGGAGCTGGTATAAACACTCAAATAAACAAGTTACACTAAGCTAATACCCAGACTTGGCATCTCAAAATTTCTTAAAACAGGAAACTGTCCCAAGGTCTGCTACAGTTTGGCAAAGAGATGACACTGTATTACTTTCTATTTTGTTTTGCTGTTGTTGAAATTACAGAAAAATAAATATTTTCAATATGATACATTGTGTATCCCTAATAAATACCAAGGGCATTTAATATAAACTATGGACACATGGTTTGC